AAAAAAAAAAAAAAAAAACAGAAAGCAGAGAGTTATGAACAGCTATTTAAAAATAACCTGTATATCAGGCTATAAAAGGGCAGAGAGAGCAAGGCTTTCTGCAGATAACAGGAAGGCTAAATAGGCTGCAGCAAAATTCCTCCATTGTATTTCTGAGCATTAACCTCCTTATTTCATTAAATAAAATGTTTCCGTTTAAATTTGTCATGTAATACGAAGAGTATATTTCCTTTTTATTTTTCCACTTCCACCACAGTAAGATCATAAAAAATATTTTGGACATTGTTAAATAAAGCTCTTGAAGTGAAATCAGAATAAATTTAAATGGGTAAATCTGAACTTTATGAAATAAAAAAACATACTTTGGATCAGTACATGTCTATCCAGAGTCATTTAATATATGATTTGTTGTGTCACTGCAGCACATTTACCTATAGTTGCCTTTCTTGCTCAGCTGTTCTTTGAAGTGACCCAAGGTGAGGCAGTGGGTCTTCATCATGCTGCGATACGGAATTTCCTCACCACAGAAAAAGTACGTTACCACCAGCTCCTTTGACCTGAAATTTTGAAATAATATTAGCTTTTAGACAAAAAAGAGAATAAAAATATTTAACAAATAAGATAACAAAAAGTCGCTTGCAGAAAGGTAAACCAGAGAAACTAAGAGATCTTGCCACTAGGTTAGCACATTAAAAACAGCGGAGGTAATATGCAAAACAAAATCTTTTGGTTCTGGTGGTGTTTGTATTTCAGAAAAATGGGAGACATATATATATATATATATATATATTTAAAGCATGTATCATCTTAAAAAAATTAAAAAAGAATTAGAAGAGAAGCCAAGAACTATTTTGACTCATTACATGAGGGACGCATGAATAACGGGCTGGTTATACTCCGCAGCAGTATGTCGCAGTGAGCTTGACGCAGATATTTTTGATTTATGCCCAATTTGGAAGCGCGGTCTGCACTTTGTTATTCCATGCCACAACAACAATCACGAACTAGCTGTGGTCTAGATACGGCTGAGGCGGTGAGGAAGTAGGGGCAAGTTTTTCCAACAACGGAGGGACATGAGGGCAAAAAAGAGCTGGGATCCAGGTGCAAAAAGGATCCCAACGTTCTCGTGCACCTCTCTCCTCTAGTTGCTCCAACTTCACGAATCTTTTTCCACAATGACAGTCATACAAACAAAACAAGCCGGTAAGGTACCAAACAGTAAATACGCATAGAGTAGAGCGGAAGTAGATTTGACCAATTAGATGCCTCCTGTCTGTGGTTGCCTACAATTTGGGAGAGGTGCAGCAGAGTGTCTGCAGAGGGGGCAGGGACGTCTCTGTGTTCACTGCGACACATACGCAGACGACCAAGTTTCGAAGTATAAATTTAGCCTCTGTAGAAATCACTTAAGCAGATATCAAACCAGATTTAATAGATAGAGGTGAGTAGAAAAAAACAAAAACAAAATAAAGGCACATAGTTGAGATTATTGAAATCAGAGCCAAAAAACATACATACTCTTCTGGGTTGGTTTGAGTGGTGCCTGCACCAGTTCCAGCCGGTGGAAGGCTCCTGTCTCTCTGAAGGCTACTAGACGCTGTTGAATGCCTGTTAAGGAAAAGCTATGTTAAAAAACTATCCCCTTAAATTATTTTATTATTGTTATAAAGATATTCAAGACATAACATATTCCTTTTTGATTAAACTAGCACCTTTGCTTTGGCGGCTTGGAAACCTCTTCCAGTCTGCGACAGGCCTCCTCAAGCTGTGCCAGGGTGTTGGGAGGCGGTAAGGGGGGCATAGCAGTATCCTGGATGAAAGGATGGCCTGGGTGATGGCCGCGAAGGTGACTCCCATTGCAAGTGCCAGCTCCACCCCAGGTGTTGGTCCTAGCTGGCAGGATTTTGGAGTCAAGAGGGTTGATCTTCTTCAGGCCTTGAGTGCTGCTGAAATGAGAAAAATTCAGGTCAGTATGGGACGTGGTTTAGATCTTCTACTGTACCTATGAACTTGTGGAACTTGCCTGTGTGGCTTGTGCTTGCCCTGCCTCTCGCTCTCTAAGATCCACTGCCAAACATTCTGAGAGCGGTCGGTGGACACCATGGGAAGACATGGTGAAGACACACCCTCACCAGAGGCCTTCAGTGGTCGCCTGGAAAAAGTGCTGCAGCAACTGGAGAGTCAACAGTGAGGCATTAGGACCCAGCAGTATTCAAATAGCACAATCTCAAAACAGAAAGAGGCAGCTAGGATGCTGTACTCACGCAGGTGTGAAGTCGGAGTAATTGGCACCCCCTTGAGGGCAGAGGCACTGCACGCGCTGAGCCATTTCAGTCTCTATCTGCTCTTTCGTCTTGGGCCCAGCGTGGTGATGATGTATGTAGTGATGGTGGATATGCTTTGTGGATTGCCTGCCTGTCATCAGAACCTTAGCCGGACCGTGATAAGCACCAAAAAGACTTCCATGGCCGGAAGACACCAGAACGCCGGTCTGATCTGGAGAACGTGAACGCGGCGAGTGCCGCACCACACCAGGTGACTGACACCCGGGGGTCTTCAGGACACGTGAAAGGTGCTCATCTAAGATGGCCTGGGGGTCTTCCTCACACTGGCCTGCAGATGGGAGCAGGGGATGATGGAGGGAATTGCTGCTGCTGCCCTCCTCTCTTTCCTCCTCCTGTAAGCCAAAAAGAAAAGGCAATAGACTAAACATTAATAATCACAATTTTGAGGAACTTCTGTGTCAGCTTCCATCCACTTCTATCAATCATCCTATGAAGTCAAAGAGAGCAAACGCCTGAATAACTTGATGCGAGTTTTCTCCTTTGCTGCACTGTTATCTTCGCTAACAGGCTTTGGGTGTCCTTCATCTATAATGCAGAATCTGCCTGTGCTTCACAAAGAAACTGGCACTACACATATTCAGCAAATGTGCCACTAGAGAGCAACTAAGTGCTATTTAAAGGCACTTAAAGTGTGTCTAGAAACATAAGTTTGAAAGTTTCTTCTTCCAAATGAAATCGGGAAGAGCACAAAAGAAGAGCGAAGAAGCAGCTAAACCCAGACAAACTTTGCAATCCCACGGCACATACCCTGTTCTTAGTCATGCTAAAGCTGGCGTAAAGGCATTTGGAATGAAGTTCAGAACCACTGCCTGAAATTAATTGGATCCAAGTAGGAATTTACAAAGTGGGAGGCATATTTGAAGTCGACTATTTTTGAGGAGGCACAACGCCTGGCAGAGATATTCACACTCATTAACCATTCCACTTCTTATCTGTTCCACAGGACACGGCTTACGTGTGAAAGGAGGCTTTAGTCAGATCAGACTAAAGTTGAACCTTTTTCGTTAACAGGCAAATGACGACCTGAGCAGGAGAAATATGTTGAACACACCATCTTAATTTTACTAATACTAATTTACCTCTTGGAATGACCTAGTCAAATCCAGACTTAAACGCTGTTGATAATTTGACTTGAACATTGATGTCTGCAGATGCTCAACATCCAGGAAGTTTGCCATTATTTCAAAAAGGAAGTATAGATAAACATTTCTTCACATGAACAAATCTAATAGCGAGGAGTTGCAAAAGACTGTAATTGCAGAAAAATGTGATGCAATGCAGATTTTAAAGGTATAGTGGAGGATTTTCTTTTTATGAGTGGATTATCAAAATAGGTGGTCCTCGTAATATTCAATCATTCTAGTGATATGTTTACCTAAGGCCATCCTACGTGCTCGTCCCAGGTAGATATCTTGAAAAAATGCAAATCTTCTTTAAGTAAGCTTGTAAGAGCGATGCAAACAGCAGCTTTTAAACAGAGCATGCACGAGGAGAAATGGGCTTGTGCACGATCTTGCATGCGTTTAATAGGTGTTCCCTCTTTGGAGTGGGTACAGCGTTGTGCATGTTTTTTTTTTTAAGTGGAAAGGGTGGTTCTTTTCAAAAAATTGCTAAAATCCTACCCTATACCTTCAATATCATGTAATTTCCACTTCACAATTCCAGCTTGTGGTGGTATATCACATAAAGGTTTGTAATTCTGATGTGTCAAAATGTAAATGAGTTTGAATTGCATCAACAGTTTTGGAAAAGCGCTTTTCTTTTGCTTACCTCCTGAATTTGCTGCAGCCTCTCCTCCAGTGAGCTCATTGTGTCCTGCTCTCGCTTCAGCTTCTCCAGTTTGGCAATGAGCTGGGCGGCAAAGGCCGAGGGCTCGACTGGGGTCATCTCCTTAGGCAGCCGGTGTGTCCTCTGGAGAGTAAACAGCACAGAGAAAGAGACTTTAATAAGTGTGCAAGTGTGGCTACTTGGTGTTTCAGATGGATGCAATATGGTGCATTAATCCATTGCCCTTGCCCAAATCGTTTCTCGTTCCAAAAAGCCTTAAACTTTTCCAAAAAAAAAAAAAAAAAAAAGGACATAATACATATGCCCTTGGCCTCAAGCTAACCTGAACCTTTCTTGCTGCCCATCCCATCCCAGATCTCATCATGCCCAGTGCCCTTGGCGGTGCCAAGCTGCCGGGAGAGAGGAAAAGAAGGGGGTAGCTATAGCAGGGTAGCAGTTGGTCTCGCTTGGAGGGGAGGCCCCCTGCCTGTACCCTCTGTAGCCCAACCAAACCATCAGCAAGGCAGCCTCTGAAGTCAGCACACTTCAAAGGGCCCTTGTCAAACATCAAACGCACACTAGGGGAGGGAGGGACACACGGCTCTAAATCTCTGAATAAAAGCCAGATATCGACGAAGAAGAGAGAAAAAAAGGAGGGGGGCGAAATTAACAGCATGAAGAGAGAGGAAGAAGATTGAGATGTGTGTTTGTGGAGTGGCATTGGTGGCAAAGAAGGAAAAGAGAGAGAGAGAGAGAGAGAGAGAGAGAGAGAGAGAGAGAGAGTAAGGAGACAGAGGAGTCAAACACTGGGAAGATCTGAAGGAAAGTAGTAATTTATTTCCAGGCTGCATGCAGGGCAGCTCAGAGGTACTCTAGTCACATTATCCTCCTTTTTCTTTAACTATATGCGCTGTCTTCTCTTTCTCCATTTCATACTTTTTTGTTATTTGGCACACTGGCTTTCTTGATTTTGACTTTTTTTGTTGTTTCATCTCTTTGTAGACATGATAAAGGGAAGGAGAAAAAAGGCAAGCGGAGCTGCTGGCAAAGGAGCGCCAGCCCTGCACGGAGGCCCCTGCTGCCTGGGGCTGGTGCATCATGGGAGACAGAGCCATCTCCAAATCAGGAGGGAGACATTAAAGAGGAGCAAGTGGAAAAGAAAGACAGAGGGAGAGAGAAGGATAGATGGAGAAAATTGTGGCAAACATAAAATGCAACTACGAACACACATACATCCCCTCCAAAACAACACATACCTGTGTTTGGATAAAGAAAGACAAAAGAAATGCGTGTTTGATTTTCTGCTTCCTAATCTGCATCAACCTGTTTTGACCCAGTTATCTAAACCACCCAACCACAGCTTAAGCAGGTCAGATAATATCTTACATCAAATGATACACAGACTTTCTCAAACACACAAAAGGAAATTGGACCGTATACACATGTTTGAGGGATCCTTGGTTTGTAAACTGACATTATGATGATTTTTTACATGAAATTGACTAATGCTTCTTTGGCAATATGGCTAACCATATAGCCAAAGAAGCAAATTAAATGGAAAGAACCTTAAACATCAGTTATGCAGATGTTTATTTTAGGGATTCTTTGAAAGTAAATAATTGTTTATAATTTAAACCTAAAAACACTCAAGTTCTTGCGGGCAAAAAAAGATTGTAATTAATGAAACTTACAGGAAAGTGTGGCAGCGTAACTTGGCCGTTGATCTTAATGTTTCGATGCATCTCTCGCTGGAGCTGCTTCTTGGTCCCCATCTTGTACGGAGGGATTCCATCTCTGCAAAAACAACAACAACAAAAAACCACATATTTAATATTATATTATTGTTACCAGCTAAAAAACTAGGATTTACTTTTGCTACATTATGCTTATTGTATCAAAGCACATCTATAACAAGAGTGCTTAGATTGAAAGAGAAAAAACATACAAACTTGGCACCAACATGTGATTACCTACTAGAAATATTAATGAGCGTTAAACTCATCACTGCTTTGTATCAAATGTGTGTTAACAATATGGAGTTTGATTACGTCTTTGGAGAACAGGTTATATCTGTGTGACTGTGTGAGATACCAATATCTTTAAAACAAAGAAATAAATTCATGAAAAGTTTTCATTTCAAACAGTTTTAGTATTGCATATTTACCATGGATACGATTAGTGCTGCTTAAGGAAGTAGACAGTGATATGTGTTTCCATGAGAAATGTAAAATGAAAGGTTCAATAGCTTGTAAATAATTTCTAAATCAGTCAGTTTTACCTTTGAGTAATTTAATTTTAACTTTGCTGTGCTCTGATGCTTTATTGTTTTCTGCTATAGGTCATATTCTTGAACTGCTCTTTCACTCCCTTAATGAACCAATGACAACTCTCTACATTTGTGAGATATTGCAGTTGTCTTTCACTTCTACAGTTAGTTTAACAGAAAAAAAATTTAACAGATTTAGCTTTCATATGTTTAGTGGGTAGCTACAAAAGACCACAGCAACTTGCCAAGTTCTGGATCAAGTTGTTTTTGGTTGGAAACTTTGAAAAAAAATATTTTTAGCAAGCGATGCTAAATGACTCTGGACAATTAGGACAATGTGTCTGGATATTGTAGGGATCTAACTACCTTGTCCACCCATTCTGTGTGACGGCTTCCTCCAGTCAGCTGCCACTTATGCTTGGCCCATTATTGCGGCCGTTTTGGCCGCTCAGAAGAGTCTGACCTAGCCCAAATGCTACTTTTTTTTCTGCTGGCTCTTTGAAATCTCACACTCATGCACATATGCACCCGCTGCCATCTTCGTTTGGCAAGCGCTCCGCAACGAGTCTCTGATCTCAGCAACATCAAAAGGCTGGTTTGTAAGATAAGGTAATGTTTGAAGTTGGTGCAGCAGCATTCCCCAGAGTCCAAGTAAATCCATAAATAAGATATAAGCAAAAAGAGAAAAAAAAAAATCCCACCCCTCCACCTCTGCTACCATAAACCTTTCTTAGAGCTTCTCTTTTTAAAACCCCTCTCGTTTTTTTATCTGGGAAATTAGATTCAAAATCGCAGAAAGTCTTTTAACTGCTAATCAAACTGTTCCTTTGAATGAAAAGGAGACAAGGACGAGTTAAAAAATAGGACAAGTACTGCCGTTCAGCAGTTAAGCCATTTGTTACATCTGAGGATCTCTACCACATTTATGTCAGAAATATTTAGTAGTGGCACTATGACTCATGCTTCTTCTACCTAACAATTAACGCTTCCCATCTATAAACCATAAACCCTTAAAAAATGGAAGTAATTACAGGACACCTTTCAAAAGTGAAACCCAAATGGAGCCCCCGTGTAACCAACAAAGCTCACAAAATCCTTCCTGACTGACTACAATATTTATCAATACAGAACATCTGAGACCATATGAATGGACAGCAAGAGAAAGCAGCCGTAAACTCTTTTACCGTTTCATGGGCCCTCACTTTTATGGGGAACTCCTATTCAAAGGTGCAAGTCATTTTCAAAGCAGCCAGTCACCCTCTTATCCCACTAAGCTCCCCTCACCTAACAATAGGCTGAAAGCGATTCAGTTAAGCCCTTTATACTCTATGCACTTTATTTTCTCACTCCCTTGCACTTGGATCCTCACCACTCTCGCTTCCAACTTTGAAGGTGGAGGAGAGAAGCTGTAAGGGTGGACTAAACTGGCCAGGAGGAGGAAGAGAGTTGAGGGGTGGGGGTTCCTTATGTCTTGCCTCAGGGGCCTAGGAATGAGTAACCCCCATGAAAGCCTCGCAGACACATGATCTCAGCACGGCGCAGAGGCCAGTGGCAGGAAACCGAACCACCATGTGAGTAAGCTTTCTTTCATTTGGTGCCAACATTTTTCAATGACTTTGTCTTGAGACCCGAATGGCCAACACACCCCCCCTCTGCAGGTCTTCAAAGGGCAAAAGCGATTTGATAATATAAAAAAGTCTGGTGGCAGAAGGGTGGGTGGGATGCGTACATATCAACTTTGAGGAAAACGAGGCAACGCCTCCACCCACATCAAGATGTTCTTTTTTTCTCCCTTTTTTCCAGCCTGCAACACATCAGAATAAACTTCAAAAGGCCTTCAGAAGTAATGACTTTCCCAGAGTTATCTCCCCTGAGGCTGTAGTAACAACTTCACATTAATAGAATTACCTGGAGTCAATCACAGAGGATAATTAAAATACATTACACACCATTATTCTTCGGCAATGCAGTCCATTGGCCCTGAGGAAAAGCCAAGCTTGCTGGATTACAAGGCCAAATATTTTTCTTTACACCCCTGGACTTTTTCCTGGGAAGGTGTTGACTGAAATCTGGCCGGTTTTCATACAGATACGATGGAAGTAATAAAATTGCACAGAGCTTTGGATGTGATCAGCTTGGATTAAAATAAGCTTCCTGAAAAAGTTGTAGCTTCATATCCAGACTCGTCTGGGCCTTTATTTATTTTTGTGCATAAGATATGAATAAAAGCACGATACTTACACACTGCTGTCGGTCATTGACAATGAATCATCCGTCGCTGCATCGCTTGAGATCTCACTGTCATTGGCACTGGTGGCGGGGGCAAAAACGTAGCCAGAGTTGACAAAGTACGGGCTGGCAGGGTCTCCCCGTCGTTGGGACCTGTGCAAGATACAAGGGAAGGTGTTAAACACATGGTCCCCATGGGTGCGGCTGTGAAGAAGTGCTTCCTCCATGACAGTTGTTAAGTCAACACTTAGGCAACAGCTTTGCAGCTGCACCAGTCAGAAAACAAGATCAATGACTGATCAATGACTGACAACTCAAGTACTATGATATTATTTTTTATATAGTGTAATAAATGGATCAAAACCAACAACTAAACCAATGTTTGACTAACTTAAACATCCAGCAACACATCTTTGTTTTTACTTTACTGTTTAAATTTTTTTTTTTGAAATCTAGGAACCAGCTTAACCATTTTCTTTTTCGGGAAGTCAAAGTAAACGAAGTCAGCCAGAAAGAGACTAATCAGTATATGTTAATATTTGGAAGAATTTTGGGTGTATAACTAGTTCAGTTCAACTTTTTTTCCAAATGCTGAACACAATTCTAAAACTTGTTGCTAATTTGCCTGCATAATATGGCACAATTCTTGTATTTATTTCTCCTTTTTGGTCTCCATTCTGACTCCTATTAGTTATATATTATACCTATAACACTTAGACTTGCCAGATATAAATTGAATGCCCTATGATAAGTTTAAATAGTTTTAAAGTGCAGCTGGGACATTTAGTTTCCTTTACTACTTCTTTAAAAAAGTCTTTAAAAAAGCATACAGATTGTAGTTCGGTAAATAAAAGACAAACCTTTATTTAAAATATTTTCTTATATGTTCTTGTTGCACTGGCTTCCAAAACTCCCATATTAAAGTGAGGTTTGAGAACCAGTGTTTTAACTTCTCTAAAGTTTGGGTAAAAAGTATATAGTTTTTGGAAATGGAACTGAACAAAACATGTCTTTTTTTCCAAACAGCAAAGAGCATTATAGTGGTTTTCGGGTTTGTTGTAGTTTTAATTGTAGCCCCAGTTAAATTAGCACTGTAAAAATGCACTTAAAGGGGTCAAAGAATGCAAAACCGACTTCACTTTGTCATAGATGTATAACGATAGTTCAGTGGGTGAAATGGACGTACAGAGAAGTTCAAACCCTATCGACACATCCTTTCTCTGCTAATCTCACAATTCTAAACTTCCACCATAAAATAGGCGAATCCAAACGAAGCTCTGAATTGACATACAGAAAAGCCCACTGGTTCACTATCGTAAATGCAGTGTTCCAGGCTGCACACAGAATGGGTCCATTTTTCAGTCCTCCCAAGGATCCGAAGACTCGACAGGCATGGATTATTTTGGATTATTTTTGTATATCAGAAGATCCCTGCAAAGTTTGATACTCAGCTGTTTGCTCTAAGCATTTCACTGAAGAAAGCTTTTAAAATCTCGGACAGTTCAAACCGGATAGTCCAAAAAATAGACTGGACCGGACCAGGCTTTCGAAAGTAGCCACGAACTCTGGGGCTGGTCCGGGAACCCCGGCAGCCGGGGACTGAGAGACCGAACCGTGTCCAGGCTACCGTCACCGGGTCGGGTTTGGTCGCTCCATCCCTAGCCCCGGAGCTCACGGCTCGGTTCGACTACATGCTGCACTGTAGTCGACCAAAGTCCCGGATCATTTTGAAATTAGCCCCAGAGGTGTTTTTTTCGGTATGAAAAGTAGGACATGACCGGGGAAAAAAGGATGTCTGGTCACCCTACCACATCAACAATTTGATGTTTCAGTGAGTGAGTGCTTGTTGCTATGATGCGTCTTTGCTCAGCAGCTTCACTCGTAAACCAACCAATCAGCGCACAGCTTATCTAAATATTAATGACCATACCATAAAAGGAATAAAACATTCTAGGGCTTTTAACCAGTCTTGCATTAGGGCTTATAGAACAGCAAATATGCTATTTTCAGCCCAACCAATGTTACACACCCTATTCAGAGACCTTAAGGACCAGCACCAAATACCCTATATAATCATTCAATGACCCCTTTAAACTCAAATATTTGGGACCACAAGTCAAACCTTTTGAGCTTCCTGGATTGCAATCTGGGAGGTTTGGGAACCAGTACTCGAACATAGTTTGTTGCGTTTTTTTCCTGATATATAAATCAATAGTGTGAAATATGATCAGTCATATTTTCAAGGCCCTTACTAATCTAACATATAGGGGCTCCAGCCGTTTGTTTTCCCTAGACTCCTAATCTTTCCCACTTTCACCTTCCCGGGAGCATTTTCTTCTCCATCTCTCTTTGCTATCAGCCAGTCTGCCCTCCTGCCCCTCCCTAGCCACCTCTTCCCTGCCTTCCTTTCTAAAGTCTCTCTGTCTCTTTGCTTTCTATCCTGCTGTGTTGCATTCCTGCTCCAGGAGTGAAGGGGTGGACAGGGAAGGAGAGGAAGGGGGAACTTGAGCTTAAGAGAGGGAGTGAGGGAAATAGGGGGAAGGAGGGCCCCTTTCTTTATGAGAATGCCTTCTGCCGGGAGAGCTGAGGAGAACCCCAGCATGACTAAAGCCATAGGCCCCAAGCACAAATCTGACCTTTGGAGAGTCCATGCAAAGAGTCAGGTATTTAGCACAGCTGGGCTCTCTGCACATACCCTCCCTCTCTCTCTCCCCATGTTTCTTTTCTTTCTTTCATTTACCCCCTTCCTGTTTTCCCCTCCTCTTGTCTCCCTGTCTCCTTCCAAAGCATGCTAAGTCTCTGTCAGACTGATCCCCCCCTTTCAAACAGAAAAAAAAAAGATAAAAGCGCAGGACAGAAATGAAAGAGAAGGGCAAACACTGACGCACACAAATCCATTGCAAAGCGGGATCTGTGGTTGGAGTGGCGCAACTGAGACGAGGATGTTTTGTCGTGTCGTTCTACCGCTTTGGAGTCTGGGAGCGCTGGAGGTCCCTCCAAAAAAGTGACGAGGGGAGTCTGTGCAGTGGCAAAATTAGTTCCACATGTTTGAGATGGAAATTGGTTGACCCACAGAGACTGTGAGGGGCAGTGGGAAAGGGGGACGAAAGGGTAGAATGATCCCTCTCTCTCTGTACCTGCTATTCTTTTTAAAGAGGAGAAAAAAGATTGCGGGGGATCACACCAGGAAACCAGGATATGCCCACATGTCAACAAACCCTGCACTTATTGGTTCCCCTGCTCCGCACATGGGCACCTCTTACCAAATGAGGAACAGTTGTTATCTCACATCTGCTGACATGAGGAAAAACTACAATGGGACAAGTTGGAAATGAGTTACTACACTTAGTCACTGATTACACAAAATCTTTCATACATGTGCTCTAGCATGTGTCAGTTTGAGATTCTTATGGTGAGATAACCGTGAGTAAAAAATTAAAACATGTCCTCAGTGCCTCAGAATTTTCATACAAAAATGTACAACATGATCTGATTGTATTTGAGGTAGCAGCTGTTTGGCAGTTGCAGAAGCAATATGAAGCATTGCCCTTAATCTTTCCTTTCATTCCTGTCTTTGATATTGTTTTTAAACCTTGGTACGCCCATAATTTGGAAAATATAAAAATGTCGGACTGGAAACAATTTCTATATCTAAGAATATTCTAGAAACAAACAATTATTCCTGCAAGAAAGGCAAAAATACCTGAAACATCACAGATTGTACTTTAAGCCAGCTAGCCAGCAATGGGTAGCTGAGAAAGGGCAGGGCTGCATGATGAAGTCAATGAAAACCTAAGTCACCTCAGCACTTCTGTGACATGTCACAGCACCCTTGTCAAAACCTCATTATCCCTTGATGTCAATAACTATCTATTCCAGTAAGATAATTAAAAAAAAAATCTACAAACTTGACATGTTCTTACAAAACAGGAATATAAGGAAATAACTCCAGAAAAGACAAGATATTTGCTTGACATAACAAAGTATATATACATTTAAATCTCATTGAATGAAGCCTGACACAAACAATCCCAAGTTTTGGATAATGTTCCTGGGCTCAAAAAGATTGCAGCTGAACAATAAATAGAATGTTTTCTTCAAATAAAACTCAAATGCTTTCTGCAAACAGTTTGACTTTCATATTAGACCAAAAGAGTGATATCTGCAAAAGTTTCTTTTTTCTTGCTATCTTTAAAACTATTTTTGCTTTTCAAAAAGTTAAGTAGGTTCTATGCTATTAAACGGAATGTGTAGAGAGGGCAGAATAAATACTGATAATTTGAAATTTTGTCTATATATATCTATATATATATATCTCTATATATATATATAGATATATATATATGGTACTTGATGTAGCTGTAACAGTCATGAGGTTTTGGTGTCTGAGTTCATTCCTGAACCGGAGGAATGGTTTCAAAGCACAGGAAACTTGAGCAAGCCAGCAGAGGGCTGCCTGCAAGACACCATTTACTTAAAAGGAAGGCTCAGATGCATTGATGTTTTGTACCCATCCCCGCCCCTCCACCCCTCCAACCTCTTGACTAACTGCAAGGCAGGAGGGCACAAATATACAGCCATGTTCCTCTGAGACCCTTTGATCATGTGGTTTTAACTCCCCTCAGTCAAAAGTAAAAAAAAAAAATGCACCAACGAATTACCCAGAGATCAGAATCAGCCAATTTTCTGACTGACTGTGATCAGTTAACAGTAGTACACAGTATTTATTAATTATATCAAATGATGGATGCCAATCTTTTTTGGTCTAAAGAGATTCCATCTAATGGCTGCCTTGAACTACCTTTTTTAAATTAAATACGATTCAGAAGAGGGTTAGAAAAGTTAGCTTTGATAAAACAACAGGGTTATTGTATAATGTTTTAACTTCTGACTAGATTTAGAAACCTACCTCATCTAATGGCCATTTTTTTTATATTAAATGTGCAATAACAGGAATAAAAATTATGTGCAAAAATCAGACCTTACAGAAAACCTAAAATTAGTATCAGCATCTCTAGAAACAACTGCTTCATATTTAGACAGTTTGATGAGGCTGTGATGGTGCTGATTAAAGTATGGAACATTGAATGCATCAAGCAGTTCGGAATCTGATCACAGGGCTGCAAGGTGAGCAGGAATGAAAAGTTACCTGTAGGTCTTCTCCAGCACCTCAGCTGCTGTCCGAATAGTAGCAGTAGCCCTCAGGTTTTTTGCAGACAGTCCCACTACAGACCCCAATGCCTTTGCCTTCAGGTCACTGCAACTCCACTCCTCTTCCTCCATAAGAGGAGGAAGGTATCCACACATCAGCTTGAGGCTGCCCAGCGCGCCGTGGTTCATGTAGGCGGCGTTCTCGCAGCCAGTGCGCACGTATTCGAGGTATATGTCAGAGGTCAGGAACATCTGGTACGCGTTCTCCTCCATGTGGGACTGGATCTCCGTCTGAGCCTGATCGAACATGGCCGAGTCTATCTGCTGCTTCTTGATACTGTCCCGGATAAAGGTCTTGGTTGCCGGTTTGAGCTGCTTTGCCACCACGCTGTTGTTCTCGATGTACCGCTTGAAGATAACTTTGGCAACTCGCAGCGTTTTGGTATCCTTTAAGTCCATCTGCCTGAAGCCGTTGCAGGCGAACCAGAAGTCCAAAGTGTCGACGCAGTGCTCCCGCTCCAAGAAGGTCCTGAACAGGTGAGCGCCGTCCAGGTCGCCGAGGAGGAAATGCAGAGACTTGGTCCATCGGACTAGGGGCGAGTCCGGGGACGCGCTGCCCTCCGGCTCTCCGAGTCCATCCTCGTTCCTCCGCGGCGTGGAGCCAACAAGAGCAGCAACAGCGGGGAGATCTTTAACTTTGCTCTGGGCTCTCATTTTGCTGCATCTGTTCGGGTTGTAGCATGACGCCTCTCCCTCCTCACCCGGCACCGGAGGACGAGGAGCATCTTCTCGGAAGCTGCCGCTGATGTGCTCCGTGAGCGCCCTGCTCATGGCTCCGGCTGCCTGTGTGAGAGTGCCGCCGTGGTGCCTCCGCTTCAGCTCCCCCACCCTCCCAAAAAAAAAAGAAAAAAAAAAAAATCCTCCTCACTCTCTAAAAGCAGCGGGGGAGCTTCTCAGCTCCTCTTCACTCTGAAACACAAAGTATTGATCTAATCAAAGCCAGATCCTGCCTGAACTTCAAAAGATAGACATCAAGTAAACAGTCCCTTTCAAAAAAAAAAAAAAACGAAATAAAAAAGAAAGAAACTCGAACGGTTCACAGAGAAAAGGGAAAAATGAAAGATCTTTTTCTCCCTAGTTTCATTTATCTATTTATAACCTAAATGAAAGATCAATTGCAGCCCACATTCTCTATGTGCATTGATCTGCCACATCAAAAACATTTCACCGGAATAATCATCTCGCTAACTCTCTTCATAGACTCGCATACTATAGTGGATTTACACGTGTTCTCCTAACGAGTCCGTGTCACAGGCTTCAACTCCAATTAATTCCCGATCACACTCACAAGCGCGCGCGCACCTTGTCCGCACAGATCTGATCTGCACCGCGGCTAACTTGGTGGGAAGCACAGATCTATGCGCGATTATTATCAGTCATTCATTTCTTTCTTTTTCCCTTTTACAGTCCGGAAACGCGTCTAAACTATCAAATACTACGGTGATCTGTTAGAAGCGGAGGTAAATGGGGGGGAAACGCACCATAATATGAGCAAGTGAGAATAGATGGCAAATTAACTCAACAAGCAGCATAACACACACACACAAAGAAAATATACACATACCATGGCAGCGCAGAGCAGAATGAAATCCATAAAAATTCAAAAGAAAGTAAAGATCCAAGTCCATTTCGACTCAGTCCAAAACTCTCCGAGTGGTTATATAGTCCCAGTGAAGAGTGACGGGCGGACTTATACGAAGGCTCTGCCGCGCCGCACGCACGTAAAGCAAGCGCTGGTACTTGAACGCACCCTGTCCCATTCAACAACTGACCTCAGAGTAGGCAGGCTCTCCGCCTATGTAGATCGCCGGGGGTGTTAAAAATCTGAAAGAGGGTGGAGAAGAAGGGGGGTTGGGGGGGTCACACGTTTCTTTTTTTTTTCTTCTCTTTTAATCCAACCAAAAGAAGAAGCACCACCCGACAAATATTCCCTTTTTTTTATCTTGGCTACACATTCATGCATTCATGAGCTCTCTCTCTCCCCCCAACACACACACATAAGCTTCTTATCTATCACACCGTATTTCTCGCCCACAAACAAGAAACACAGCCCGCATTTCTCAACTTCAAAGCTGAGCAGCAGCACATCAAAGCGGCCGAGAGAGGGGGCCTGTGGAACAGCTTCCCTATACAACTCACCATCCATGTTGCCGCTCTGATTAGAAAACGTTAAAGTATGGTCCCAAACAAGCAGCCTTGGCTTCGGTCCCTGTCCTATCCTATTGGAGAAGTTTAATTCAGCCGCAAATAAAATAAAACTTCCTTTTTTTATTTTATCCTAATCGTCTCTTTGTCTCCACAGGTAGGTGTTTCAAGAAGTCATGGCAGGCGGTTGAAATCCTCGCGGCTGTTTCTACACCAACTGGGCTAAAGGTTTAAGTGCGGACTTCAAAGCGAAGAACCGCTGGCCTGGTCCCGGAAGAGACATAAAAAAGCGCAACATCCCCGACTTCACGTTTATAAGCGAAATAAAACACGGATTAACCGCCGGGTGGCGAAATAATAACACAAAACACAAGATTATAAACTGTTTTCCATAAAAAAAAGCTATCCTAAAATTTAAAGTTACACGTGTATGATATATTTTTTTTGAAAATGTGCAGAAGGAAGGACTAAAGTAGTCTGTCAGGACCTTATCAAAGAAAGCAATCTTCAGCCAACTCCCTGAGGCTTTGGAGCGTCAGAATTAAGTGATCCACTGCATCAGGACTTTTATCCTAAACTACCCCTCTGTAGCAACACAAAGTTTCAACAGGGATACAAAGAAAACAAAAGCAGTATTGTGGTTGACTGTGACCTTCTAAAGTGACAGGAGTACAGCCACCTTTGCGGGACCTTTGTGATCATCTAATTTTAACATTTATGAGATATTTTTGTATTAGACAGAGGTACCTCTTGAACAAATTAAATCCCCATATTCCATCTCTAAATATATATGAAAGCCATCCTGCTTAAAGATAAATAGAGGCAGACAAACAGGTCAAAGTGTAAATATGGATGGGAAGCAAAAAGTCTTCAGACTTGGAAAACAAAGTCCAGTGGATTGTTTTTTTTTAACTTTTTTGGAATAACTATGACTTGGATGACTGAGAATCTTCACCAGCATCTGTTGCCAACATTTTGGTGGTAGACACACAAGTAGTATATTCTAACCCTCAGTGGCTCATGGATGCTTTGGCAGAAAAAGGGATATCAACATACTATTTGGCAGGTGTTCATAATGTTATGCTTCTTCGACATATAGTGAATTAATGTCTAATATCCCTTAAAAACATTTTTTTCTACTTAACAATTGTAGATTTCTCAAAAAAGATGATTAAATGTGTGTAAACACATTTTACAATTAGTTTACCAAACCCTGCCCAGTTTAAAAGCAAAATAAATAGGTACATAAGGCTGAAGAACCATTAGAGGGCACAAAGTAGCCTTTTTGAATGTAGAGGTGACACATGGTACTTTTGTCAAACACACATGATGTTGCTTAACAGAAGGGAGTTAAATAATTTATTACGGTAAATAGGATTTTAAATCTTTGTGACATTGGTTTCTCCTTATAAATTAATATATATGTATGTAGGATAATATTCATACCCTTTTTTTTTTTAGAAATAAATATTAATCCATTAAAACAACAGTTGTGAGATATATGGTTAAAATCTGAAAAAATAGTGGATGCTTTAAAACATTGCCTGGTTTTTCACACTTTAACCCTAGAATTGGTGTTAAGTTATTTATTTCAATATGCATGTGCATTTACTTTATAGACTTATGTGCTGTTAAGAGAAACAGTAGAAATTGTGTTAAGATAAGATTAGATAGGATAGACTTTATTGATCGCACAGTGGAGAAATTCACTTTTCATATTGGCTCAATAGTCAAAAGAAGGTGCCAAAGAGTTTGCCCTGAAATCGAGAAAAGGTGCACGGGGTATATACAGTGCGTAAATGGTAAATGGCCTGTACTTATATAGCGCTTTTTTTCCCAAGACAGGAGACTTGAACAAAGCACTTTACACTATAGTCAGTTATTCACCCATTCACACACACACTCACACACTGATGGTGGCAAACTACATTGTAGCCACAGCTGCCCTGGGGCTCACTGACAGAAGCGGGGCTGCCGAACTTGTTTCTTCTACTGCTTTCTATTAATAAAATCAAATAACTCTCCTCTGTTTCTCATCTTCTTTCATAAAAATAGTTGTTTTCTATATTTTTTTGTGTCGATATATTAAGTGCTGATAGCAAAGGTTGTGCCAACAATGTATTTTTAGCTGCTCATCTTTTATCCGTCTAAAAAATATATTTTCTTTGGGGAGCTTTTACCATTAGAGGCACTGAGATTAAATAGAATAGATCATCTCTTTTAAGTCCTCGTTGGTCTGTAAAATATCAGGCCCTCAAAGGGCAGAAGTTTGACCAAAAACCTTTAGAGAACAACTTACTCGGTCGGACTAGCCATGCTGTCCATTAGGTTTACAGCTCACTTTTCGCAACTAATCCTCTTCATATAAGAAAAACTGTGGAAACTTTGGAGTTGCAGCATTGCAACCAAAGCAGAACTGCACTGCAGTCTCCGTATTGAAGCGTTTTTTGCACAACCTACCTGAACCTACAACCTATCTGAACTGTTGATAATTGAAGTTCATACAATGAGTTTTTCCAGAGTTCCACTTTTGTAGTCACTTCAAATTGACTTTGGACTATGAAATTTTAACAAGGAAATATTCCCTATTTTTGTCATGGTTGTCTTTTATTATGTCTTTTATCACAATATAAGAAAACAAACAAAAAAGTCCAGTTTTTATATTCTATATTGATATGCTTTCCTTTCAGTCTCAGCATAAAAAAAAAAAGCATGCCACAACAGGTGCTTTTACTCTCAAAATTTCTCTAATGGCAGAGTACTGTAAATAATAAACATTTACACCATACAAATGAGATATTGGTTGATGTGATTTCTAGTTAGGGACTTCATGTGGCCTCGGACCTTGGCACTGGTGTACACAATGAATTAGAAGCTTTTTTTTTTTTTTTTTTGACTTATGGGCCTGATTGGATAATCCTGTGGAGTGTAACTGTCAAATAATTTACATATTAGTCACAGGATTTTAGCCATAAAGATGTGAGCGGAATGCACTTGCAAGTTCCACATTCAGGGAAAAATGGCACAGCATGACATTTTGATTGAAATTGGACACAGAGCAAAGGCAAAGAGCCGTTCTCTAGTCTTTTAATTCACATGACTTCCCTAATGTCATTGTGACAGAATCTTAAAGAGTGGGTTAGACAGTGATCCAATCCCATGGTACTTCAAAGGCTATATTGTCCCTTTGATGTTGAAAATCAACTTAAAAGGAGGATATAATTATATAAGTCTGTGGATTCAAATTCTCAAAACTCCCATGATGGTAAAGGACAGGACAGTTAATGAAATCCAACTTCTATGAGGTCACTAAATGCTGATTAATTCATGCTGAGTTATTAAGAAAGCAGAAAAAAACATAATGTAGAAACTCTAATTTTAATTCAAAGTTAGGTGAAAATGTTCTATCTTATATAAAATCTCTCTAATCTAGTTATCTATTATCTATCTGTCTGTCTGTCTGTCTGTCTGTATATCTGTCTATTTATCTTAATTTGCAGTGTAACTGTGTGTATTTCTGCTGAACCAAACCGTATACTACTCTCAGTTCTGCACAACCCTGTGATGAATAGTTTGATGCAGTATTTGTTTATATAGCAGTTCATTGTTTCATTAAATTTATTGCATGCCATCACACGGAATTCAATGGTGGATCCTAAAATCTTTGCCTCTATTTGATGAAAAACGCTTATCATCCCGTTTCTAAAAACATGTAACAAAATGGCTACAACTAACCCACAATTCAACCCAACTTGCTTTTTTTGTAAAATTTCTACTTCACTCCCTTCTACCCAAAACCATAACCAGGAACGATGGCCAAAATTGACTAGCCTACATCTACTTTTTCCCGTTTCTCCTTTCCTGTTCTACATACATTGCAGTGTCCATATAATCTGTAATATTTTCTGCAGGAATTATAATAAAGCTATTTATATGCATACATCAAGCAGAACGCTATGGTGATAGCCGTAGTGCTCCACTTGTGAAAGCACAATCTGTTCAGTTCTTTTGGGCTTCAAGACAATTATTCTTATTGCCACATTGCCAGACAGGACACTGTTCAAAAAAGAAAAAAGACTACACCTTTATTTGCAGTGTGACCTACAGAAAGAGAGATGCCTACAGGCATAGATATGCTGCCTTTAGAAAAGCACCTTTCTTATACCCCTTGCTACTGTAGGATATATAATTTGATATCCAGCTAAACCATGCTGTTACAGATTTATGTCAAGTAAATAAGCCGCATGACCTAATAAGGAAATTATCTAATCTCCCACTGTGCAGATGCTCTGTGAGCATTGATGAAGATGTGCTGAACATGGAAAGAAAAATGCTGGTAGATGCTCTGAAAGACTAAGTCTAAAACACATTAATTGTTTGATCCACAAAATTCACTTTTTTGCTTCATGTTTAGACTCACATTTTAAATATGCAAACACAGCAATTGTGTCAACACAGTTAAACACTTGTAGAAACATTACAGGTTGAACCCTTTACAACTCTAACACAACTTGAAAGCCTCTAACTCTATTAGGGATAGGACGATTTATGAAAACCATCCGAACCGTTCGGTTCGACTGTCTCGGTTCGGTTCGCGTGTGTTACATTAGCTTAATGCGCTGCTCCTTTTTCTCATAGGCGAAGCGTTTACACTCCAGAGCAGAAGGTGGCGGTACTGCGACCAAAGCCAACCACCAGTAGTAAACAAGAAGAAGAAGAAGCGAAGCAGCTTAGCCGGGTGTAGCAGGGAAAAAAATCAGTTGTTGTGGAGAATTGTGTCGGAATGGCGAGTGGGAAAGAACAGGAGTTGGAAGACGCGCCAGCAGCACTTTATAGGTCTGCTGTATGGGACCACTTTGCATTTAGGGTGACCTACAATGACGGCGGAAAGAAAGTTGTGGATAAAAGTGCAACAGTGTGCGAGCATTGTGCAACACGTTTTGTTTACGCTAACAGCAACATGACCAACATTTAATGCTAACCCCGAAATCCCTCATACTCCGTCAGCAACCCCTGCTGCGCTCCAGACCGGCTGCTCAAAGCAAAGCCTACAGCCCCCACTGTGGCTTCGTCCGCTCCCCTCTGAGTCATTTGGAGATGGTAGAGAGCATGCGCGAGATGATTAAATTCAAAGCAGCAAAACATACGGAAATGATCCAGGGTTTCTGCGGATCATTTAAAATAATTACAATCCATTATTTTTTGGGGGATTTTTTCA